ATCCGACGTCAGAACGCCGTAGCTGCAGCCAGGAGGGCTTCCAACAGTAACTGGTAGGGAGGAAGGAAAGCACAAAGGAATTTTAAAGGCACCTAAACAACTATTTTTAATCTTACTTTCCAAAGAGCATTTGCTCCTCCATAAACAACAGCCAGATTCACAAAAGCATTAATCAATAAGCCATTAGATGCTTAAAAATTGGGCACTTGATGCCCGACTATTTGGCATTAGGCAAAAAGCCTGTTTGGAATAAGACCTAAATGCCCTACATCTGACAGAAAAGTATTTAAACAGAAAAATGGTAACCCACATTAAAAAAAAAAAAGAACACGGACTCTTCTAAAAGTTATCTAGGGTAGCTATTACTTAAAGTGTTTATGTCCCACAGCTATCAAAAGTTTTCTATATTTTAGAGAAATTCCAAGAGAAACCAAGAAAGGCATGTCAAAGTACACGCAATTTATTTGTTCACTGGTGATCGACATATACTTCTACATACTGACTACCTGGCCAGGCAGGAGGAGGAATATTCTTGATTCTTTTGTCTCCACAAATATTTGAAGACTCATAAAATTTTGATATTGTGATTTCCAGAAAGTCAGCATTTCTAGTTGCTTTTTTCACTTCTCACTTTCAAATAGTGTGAAACCATGGGGATTTCTACTCCATTAAAGTATCTGTTAGAATAACCTGCACAGATCTCTTTCCAAGGAGAAAAGAGGGGAGAAGACACTGAAATTGCCTACTGAAAACCAATTAAAGAAAAATTAACTGACCCTGCTCAAGCAGAGTCACGTAAACAGCACAACCTTTCCCCTGGAAAATTCCAGTTGCATCTTAATTAAGGCCGACAACGCCGGAAGGTAAACTAATGCTATACCAAAGTAATGTAGTGTCCTGCCCTGTGTTCTGGCCCAAGTTGTCAGTTAGGATAAATACTAAGAGCATTAGGGCCACTGTACTTCACAATCAGAAATAGCTTTACAGCAGTTATCAAAGGATGTAAAACTCACTGAATGGTGACCAAATATAAACGAAGATTAATTCTAGTAAAAGCTTCACAGTTATAGGCCATGGGGACAATAAATATGTGATCAGTGGTGCAAGAAGGTTAATGAAAGGAGTGACTGCTGGAAAGAAAAAGACTTCTGAAAATGTGTGCTGTCACATCAGAGATGGATTAGATACGGAAAACCAATACAAAACCAGAGAAAAGTGTCACCGCTAGAACTTAATCAAACAACATGTGCTGATTTTTCTAATGCAGTGGGAAAAGCTGACTTTCAGACTTCAGACACGCTGAAGAGCGCCCTTCGCCACCTACTGAAATCCAAAGCAGGCTGTTCCCGAAGCCTGCAACAATTTTAGAGAAACCCAGTGCTATAAATAGCAGCTTAACCCTAGGAGAAGCTGTCATCTTCTGTCCCTACAAGCAGTATGGCGGGCAGGGGAGACAAGCTCCTTCCCTACCGACCTACCTGCGGGCCAGGCTCAGGCAAGAGAGAAAGGTTTGATTTACTGGCACAAGGTTCAGGCTCTGGCTACATCTCTGCCCCTACCACTGAAAACAAGACCTACAAGGGAGAATATGGAAGGGGTGTGAATTCACCAGGCAGAAAATAGCTGGCATAGTTTTATCCATTTTTAATTAAAGAAGTTAAAAGAGAACTACAAAACTTCAAGCCTTGCAACACTAGCAAATAAATACTGTCTCTGATATTATCTTGTGCCAGAAAATACTGGTTTCCCTGATCATTTCTAACGGAGCTTGAAATTACCATGGGATTTTGATATTTTCCTCCCCTCTGCCTCGATACCTTCACGCCAGGGCAGCTCTAGGTTGAATCCTCACCCTCTGTCTGCTCCACGGCAGAAACATGCCAACGCTGCCCTGCCACAGCAGGGACGGCCACGCTTCAGAAGGTCGGATCAGCTTATGGACTGCTCAGAGCAGGCGACACACAAGAGCTCTCTCATACCATCAGTCCCCGTAGACATTTTGCCTACTTGCTATTTTACATGTTTCAGGTGACTCAGCGATAGATGTAAAAGCCAGCACCAATGCATCAACTGGATTTTCACTGCATGCTGGAGAATGCCAAGCCTAGAACAATTAATGGATTCGATCGAAGTCTACAGTTTTACCATCCGCAGCAGGTGTTGCGTGGACAACGCCTGGTCATGCAAAGACAACAAACCACAAAGTGAAACACGTGCTTTGGCTGTACCAAACAGCGCACCGGAGAACAAAAGCAAGCAGAAACCAACCTCTACGCCATGTCACTGAACAAACCCTCGGAAAGCATGAATACTCACATGAATACAGAAAACTCAGTTAAACTTTGAGTGTCTCTTATACCTGCTCCAAGATACACAAAATAAACAAGCTAGGAAAAAAAAACCACAATCTTATTTTCAACAGCTACGGTAGGACACAACGCTCACACCAGCACCCAATTTTTTGCTGTACCATAGCTTCAAAACTGTCTCTGCCTTTTTCAAGAGCACAGCGCTGAACAGGCACTGGTTCTCAAAGAACATCAGCAAAAAGGCCCACCTATTTCTTCAAAAGTGTGAGGAATTAAAAGCATATGAAGTTTTGTTCTAAGACTGAGGGTTGACATTGCAAAAAAGGCAAGAAACTTTCTCAGGAGGGCTCTAATGCTCTCCCTCCCACAAGTAACCTTACACGTGCATGTATAAAATGCAACGCTGTGTATTTGCTACAGAAAAGGCCCAGTGAAAATAGTGCATTAGAAAATGCCTGCCACTTCGAAGCACAAGCTAAAAATTTTAAAAATATACACGTATGTCCATATTGGAGAAGTAGAGTTGCACTCTTTGGAGGCAGATCTCACTACACCATGGGTCAGCAGAGGCGAGGAAGCTCTGCTCAGCCACATCGCATGACCCAGACCGCACACGCAGCACTGTGCAGGGCTTACAGGGCAGAGCACGGCCCCTTGACTGCCCGAGAAGTCTGTGCCTGCTGCATTAAAGCTTCCCCCACATCAACAAAATAGGTGCCTGGGCCCAACGGCTGTGATTCATATAGAACTTCTGAGAATGTACATCCACTGTTTTAAAAACATGAGGCTTTAAAACAAAGTTTTACCAATTACAGTCTACGCTCGAGAGTAATTTCATTGACCACGGAAATGGAAATACAGCAAGCTCTGCAAACTCAGAGACTACAGCTCCGCTTCTCTTCTGCGCCATTTTGCAAGACAGAAGATTACCTGAATCTGCAAAGGAAAAATTAGGAAGAGCAAATGCAATTACCTGCGCTGGAATTTAGCCAAAATGGTAACTCTCACACAGAGCAGTATTTAGTGACCTGCATGGGGTCAGGAGACAGGTAAGTCATACTCTCTGGTAGCGGGGCTTTTCATTTTTTGCATGAACGTTGGCTCAGGGCTAATAGAGATGAAAGCATATCACCCAGTGAATCATGAGGATGCTTCTGAAGTTGTCCCTCAACACATGCTACTCCAATTCTGACGCACCACGGCCCCAGTCCTGTGCTAAGGTGGTAGATCTACTACCCATTTGCTTGCAGAGGAAGGAGGAAATGGCAGCTTCATTCTGTTGTCTGTAGCCTGGCTACCAGCTTAGGAACAAGGCTTAGCTATTGCTACCCCTTTTCTCCTCTCCCTCCTCCAGCAATTAATTCATTGGACAGTTTAAACACATTGAAAGAAAAAGGAGTCTCAAAGAAAAAATCAACTTTTACGACACAGATGAAGAGGCAGAAGAGACAGAGGCTCATTGGCAGAGCCTTTAGACCATCTGTAGCACGAGTAGAGCTCCAGGCTGAAGCCAGGCTACTCTCTCCTGACCAGTGGGGATGTCACTGAAAACACAGGGGGAAAGAGGAGGAACAAGGAGAAAAGGGAGGGTGGGTTATGCCATTTGATTTGGGAAAAGAAAGAGAAGTGTAACAAATTCACAAGAATCTCTCGATTCTGCTGCTCAGCGAGCCATTTTTAACTCAGTACTTTAGTGAGACATAAAAGCTCCTGGATGTAAAGTAGCTGCAAGGACCTCCTCAGCAAGACACAAGCATGCTCATGCAGAAACTGAAGCTACCAAAAACTCTGAAGTACAGCCAAGGGGAGCAAATACTCGCGAGTGGAATTCCATAGGCAGAAGCTGGTGCTGACCTAACTGGAAATGGATAAAATTTGAAAGACCATTGACAAAGCACTAGAAACAAACCACCCTTCCTTATTCCACTGCACATTTGAATTTGCAGGACTACATCACCTGCAGTAAAAGAGGTCTTTTTATATAATTATATACCAAGCCTGTGCCTAACATGGTTTGTATGTTACAGACACAGCACCTGCATGCCTCCCACCAAATCCAACTTATGCACTGCTAATAATTTATTAACTCAGGCAAGAGGCCTGAATTTCACACTTCTAGAAAAGGCTCTGCCTTTCTTCCTGATCAGAGACCACCAGGGATGGATTATTTCTAAGAACCTTTCAGAGATGACAAATACAACTCCTTCCACTAGAAAGGGGCTATGTAAGAACTGCATAAGGAGAGCACAACCTGCAGGCTATTAACCGTAATTATTTTCCACAGCTGTGAAGGTCATACTGAAATGGAAATTAAAATTTGAAGGCCCCTGCTGACTGCTGCACAATATGATCACTGGGGACCATTTGAAGCTTAAGCCTCATCCTGACAGTTTTCTTTCCAACAATTTGCCTAGACCTTGTATGGTGGCACCCATCAGTCCGACTCAGTGACTGACCCTGCTAGATCACTTAGTCAGTATTACCTCTTCCAAGCAACTCTCCAGCCCCCCATCCTCCCCAGCTTTGCAGACATATGATACTGTCACTAAAAAACCCACGTGATTTCTAACCAAATGAAAGCACAGTTTGCTACATGTAGAGGTAAATGAGTTCAATGGATGCATTTGACATTATCTTCAGACATACTCAAAGCACAAATCACATTGTTCATTTGAGGTGACAACGCCATACCTTATCACATCTGGTTCTGCGCCTTCATTCTTGTAAGATGCCTGAAGTTGTTTCTGTCGTGTGAGAAGGTCATCCACCAAATTCTGCCTCCTGTCTCCCTCCAGCTGTGTGCTGATGATACTTGGTTAAGGACCAAACTTAAAAACGCTGAAAAACTTTAATTTTATTATATAATGTTATACATTCTTAAAATAAATCAGACCTCCTGATCATTAAAAGTAACTAGAGTAACTATTTTAACTCAAGAAAAGGCTGTAACATCTAAGAGAAGGATAGGTCACATGTTTCTGAATGAAATCTGTTGTTATTCTAAAAGAGTTTAAGTTTACATATCTCAAAGAAAAAGTTTCATACAGTGACCACAGAGTGATCTTCAGGTCATCATCTCAAAGTAATAAGAGAACTGGAAGGCTATTTACTGCCAAATTAGCATAAGTATTAAGAATAGCATTTCCCCCTCCAAAATGCAACATAATTCTTCTTTCATTTATTACTAAGAAGTCTTACACAGTTGATCTCTTCTGTAACATTGACAATGTATAACAGTACTGCATGGGGTAAGGATGAGTCTTCTTAAAAGAGCTCCAGCTTACACTGTTATGATATAAATGGGGCAGGCCCAAACAGAATAGAGCTTTTAAAATCAGCAGGGTACTTCACATCTTATTTCACTGGAGGCTCATAACACAGACCAGGTGAGTAGCTCGCAGCCAAGTGATCAGCAAACAACCAAAAATTTACTTTGAGCACCTGTTTCCATTCGCAATCCATCAGCAGAGCACCCCGATAGCCACCGAAGCAGCAGAAAAACAACTCATGCAGTATCTCTGAAAGACAAGATGCCCTGAAGTGCTGCGGCTTCGACAGGGGACATGTGTTTGCTTTTTTTAATTAATCTTAGTGACATTTTGAAGAACTACTAACTCTCTTCCAAGTACCGTTCAGTAGATTATGCGATAGATTTGCGTATGTTTTCTGCCACAGCCGTAGCGCTCGTCTGCTCTCAAGCACTCACTGGACAGGAAAGTTTTACCCCTGGCCATCAGCACTCAGGGGGCCCATGCTTAGAAGGGATTTCTGCTATAGTGAGCTTGAAATTAAACATTCATTCATTAAATCAGATTGCTGCTGGGTATTTTCAGGGAGACAGACGTACTTCTTTGACTCCTTAAGCCTGACTGGCTATCCCAGCACACGGAGAGAGCAGCAAATCCAAGCCAGGCCACAGGGTAACGCTCCTAGAAGAAAACCTGTCATTTTTTTTTCTAATGCATATTTTAAAGCGTTTTGACGTCATTCTAAAGATGCGGTTCCATTGCTCCTTAAGTCAGTCCAGGTCAGGGCTGCCACATCCCTGCCCACACCCTGAACGAGGCTTCATCCTGCCTTTCTGCAAACACTGGCACTCCTGCAGCCAGCGACTGAGCCAAGAGAAAATAACAGATTAGCGAGTTTTCTGCTAGACGAGTGACCTTAGCTCACAAGCCAGCCACTCAATCAGCAGTGTTGGCACAGCGCACAGGCAAGACGATGCCAGCTCTGAGATTATTCAGAACATCTTGTTAAGCTTCTCTCTGACACAAACGTAACCAAAGCCAGCCTCACGCCCACCGTACCGGCGATGCCCAGGCTCCCAACCCTCCCTGCACTACAGCTGCAATGAAAATACTAAACAGCAGCACAGATGAAGTTCTAGTGACAAAGTCTTCTAAAAATGGAACAAGGGAAAAACCCTAACTGCGTGGCAGAGCAACTATAGCGTATTTTTCCACTCCCTCCCACAATACAGAAAGGTCAGCGAGTTGATGTTTACACAGATACATTTGGTGTGTTGATACAGCCCGAAGCAGTAAGTCCTTCAGCTGATCGATCTTCTCTGTGAGATTCTGCAACGACGATCTGATCATCACATTGAGCTGAAGGGGAAGAAAGATTTTTTTTTTTTTCGGCCCGAGTTATATTCGCATAAAATTTCATGCTACTACATGCAGGTGACAATATATTTAACTTCAGCTATACTGGTGTGAAGGACTCCGTTCTAAACCAAGAAAGCCTGCCTCAGAGCCACGAAGGGAACGATACAGTTAACTGGTTTGGACTGCTTACAAAATAATGAGATAAATAGGACTAGTTTCGCAAACACAATTCTAATGCATTAATGCTGTTTAACACGGAGAACTTTCTTTCAAGTCTTTATAAACACACTCCTTTATATGGGCAAATGTTTCAGCATATTTTAATATTTTCCAGTTAGTTTTCCAGTTCTTTCCTCTGATCTTTAATACAAAGACAGGCGCCAGCTTCTCCTGCCACCAGGTTTCTTTCCCAGCTCCCAGGATTAGAGGGAAGGTTGCTACAGGTCCAGACATTCCCTCCACTGAACTCCTCCAGACTTTAAACGAAGGATCCCAGAGAAATTCAGATTTCCTCCGTTTCCCTTCTCAGCAGCGCCTATGGCTCCCGACCCTTTCTCACAACTGACCCGCCCAAGATTCAGATGTGTCTGTTCTCACTAAAAACGTAGTGAAGTCGTTCACATTCTTCCCTGCTCCAAGCAAGCCCGAGGTCTGTGGGAATCCTCCTCTCTCCCCACCCCTTCCCAAGTTAGGCTGACATTATCCTCTGGGTTTTTCCTCCTTGAATCTCCTTTCTTTTCATTCCAGTTACATAGAACATACTGGGAAAAAACATTGTAACTGCAACTAATTATGCAAGTCATCCTAATTAAGACTTTATGCGCTTCTTGTTTACAAGGTATTAGCTTCACTAGTGGTTAGCTACCTCAGATGCTCTGTGTGATGAACTAGTAACAGAGAAGGAATATTTGCATTGACTCTCATTCCTGCGTTCTTGAAGACACAGAGGCAGCAACCAGACACCAAGGTCTCACTGAACGGTCGCTGTGCTGCCTAGAGCTAAACTGCACTCGGTACCTGCACGGGGATGGAGCGGGAGTGCCCAAAAAATCACCTGATAGCTTCAGAAGTTTAAATCTCTCTGACTCAGCGAGACTCGTTCTCAAACACTACCAAATACAACGACAGAAAGCAGATGCAGCCACGCTGAGGCAGTCTTGAGCGTATGCAGCCAAGCAGAGCGCTGCAAAATCCACCCTCAGACCCAAAGCCGCCGAACACCACGGCACCGGGGTATAAATGCTTTCAGGAAAGTGCCAAGCCGCTGCATACCCTCTAGCTCTGCAATTAGGAAATAAAAGGCCTTTTCATTTCACATGTACATTTCCTGCGCTCATGTCCAGGTGGAGAACGCTGCATTTAATCGGCCCAGAACAGCAAAGTGACATAAAGGTATACACGTCCACGAAAGTCATCTAACATACTGACCCCCTCTGCTACTCTGGCCAGAAACTGCGGAGCTGTAACAAAAGATTTCACTTCCATTAAAGAAAAAAAGAAGCCAGTGGAAGATTTAAGATCAGCTCAATAGAGCAGAGTTCACAA